GCCTGGAAATGGACCTGGGTGTCTCCCTCCTGCACCCTGAGGACTGTGCTGTGGGGTCTGAGCCCTTGTGCTCCCTGGTGCGTAGAGGAGAGAGGGGCACTGGAGTGTAATGGTTCATTGCTGAGTTAGTCTAAAGGTTGTGGATGACGATAACTGTAAAGGTCGAGGAGCTGCTTAGTCCAGTCTTGTGTGGTACTTTCTTCATGCAGCGTTTAGTTTCTGGATCAGTGTATTAGCCTTTCATCTTTGAACGTGTTTGTTCAAATACTGACTGATCTGAAAGTAAGGGAGTTTTGGATGAACAGGAAGAGCAAAGAAGAAACCTTGTGCTGATTCCACCTCCCCCATTTGTGATTCAGCAGAGTCTAACAGAAGGCACCGTTCCAACAGGGGCATCGATCTGGAGGTGGGAAAGGTTTTTCTTGTGTAAAATGATAGGTATTATATCTGGTTGAACTACTGTTAACTAAAACCCTAGTGCCATCCTTACAAAACCTTGGTGAGTCTTAAAATTCCTTTTGTTCTCATAAAAGGACATGTTTTAAAAAATCCATTGTCTTGCCTTTAGGACAGCAAATACTGTTGTAGTATCAGAGAAGTAAGAAGATAACTCAGTTTTGCTACATGTCAGGTTGTCTTAAATTTCTCTGGATTGCATGAATGTATGTATTAGGATCATTTTAATCTATAGCATATGCTACAGGTACAAGGGACAGGGAGTTTCATATCCTAGATCACAGCTCAGAAGGTATGCAGAGTGCCGGAAGTGTGTTTATACACAATGAATACTTCTGTTTAACATACACACATGAGGTTGATTACAGATAAAGTAAGGATACCATATGTTTGTTTTAAAATTTCCACCAAGTGGGGAAGCTCCTCTCACGTTTATGTCCTGGGTCACCTTTCCTGAATTGTGGTGCTGCTGTTTATATGTCCAGGTGGTGCAGTGAGTCACTATCTATGTCAAATCAGCAGAAATTTAATCTCTGGCATGACGGACATCAGCTAAACTGATTGTCAGATTTGGCCAGACTGTGACAGTGATGTCACTGCGTAAGTGATCATCACTTTGTTAGGACGGGGACCCTTGGTATTGTATTGAGGCATTGGACTCATCAGGCACTTAGTTTTGCTCTGTATATGTTAAAGTATTGACTTTCTTTGTAGAAAATGCTGGCAAAGCACCTGAGCCTTTGACTGCCTGCCAGTAATCTTCAGTGTTATTGTTATCTACAATTTGAATGTTAGTCTCTGAGTGTTTGCCAGCCGATAACTCACTTTGTCACCTTTCTGCATACACTTCTGAGTGGCTGACTTTATTTCATCAAAACTTTGTCAAAAAAGAGAGTATAAATTCTGAGTCCTAGGTGAAGCTGATAAAAAGTAAGATTTGTCTTTCATGCCCTTTCAAAGCCAAGATGGAACTAAATGCTAATATCCAGCAAAGAGGATGCTGTGCTCTTGCCCTATTAGAAGCAGCCTAAAAAGCTCTCTGCTAAGATAAAATCTCTTTTAGGAGTTGTGTTATAGTTCCTGAGGAGTGATCCTGTATGCACAGCTTTGGTCAAATTTCTCCTCACAGAGCTCTGTGTTTTGATGCAGATGCCAAACTGGAAAGCTTTTATGCTTCATCTTGCTTGAGTATACTTAATAGTCTTAGATTTAATGCTGATAACCCTTTTTGAAATGGGATCTCACACCTGAGCTTCTTTATGCATTTGTAGTCTGGTCACTTTAAGGCTTTGGCTGGCTGTAAGATGAAGGCTTACCCTTGCTGCAGCTGTGGGCCTCAAACAGCTTCTGTTCTTTCTGCATTGTTTGCTTGCTTTAGTCTAAGCCTGCTCTGTTCTCCAGAGTCTGTGCTGCAGTGGCTGCTGGCCTTGAGGATTGACTGCTAACCTTCTGTCTGTGGGTTCAACTTAGGACATCTTCTTTTTTCCATACCCCACTGCCACTGTTTGTTCCTCTGTCTCCCAATTTTTTACTGCTTAAGCAGTTTGGCCCAGTTGTAAGCTGTGTGATGCTTAATTCTCACAGTGGGACAAATGCTCTGAGTTTGCCAGGAGATGCAGCACTGCATGTCTGTTTTGCTTTAAGGCCCAGTTGTGTCCATAAGCCTTTAGGGGAAATGGAAAGTAAAAATTGATTTTTAGTTTGCTGTGGATATGGTACAAGTCAGAAGAAATCTCTGTGTGTTCTTTAAGGCAGTGCAGCAATTTCCCTCAGCCTCCACCTGCTTATGTTTGAGGGCTCTTGAAAAGACTTTGTTACTACCTAATAGTAGTCAATAAAGAACAAAAAAATCAACAAAATCTTATGTTTATTGTTGAAGTCTCTGCTGGGAGCTGGTGTGCAGCCATCTTTTGAGACATACTGAGACAGAATACTCTAAGAAGTTACTTTTTCACTGGTTTTAACATTTTTCTAGCTGTATTTATTAATTGGTATGGCCTGCAGAGGACTTCCAGACACACTTGTGGTACTTTGAGTGAGCCATATGAGATGAGTAAAGGCACAAACTGTGATCCAGGAGAAGGACTGTTCTTGTAGGTGTACCCCCATGAGTGCACTTGTGCTTTTCTTGAGTTTGAAGGTAGGTGTTTACATCATATACTAATGAAATAAAAACTTTCCTGTTACCTGGCATCTTTAAGCCAAACTTGGGACATCTTTAATACAAACTGAGATGACTTTGAAATACATGTCCCAGTTGAATCAGTGGGAATCCTATGAGTATGGGGGCTGGGGTCATATGGGATTCTGGGTGCTGTGCTACTGGAGAGGTGAGACAAATCACCTATAAATTGCTGGATGGTAAAGAGTTCTTCTGGTCTCAGCATCTAAGCTTTTCCTTTAACACCAAAATGGTTAAGTGTCAGAGTAGACTTTTTCTGTTGCTTTAAGTGCTTCACTGCAGGAGAAAATCAATGTAAATGTTGCCATCTAAACTGTCAAGCTTAATTTTTATGGTTAAGACTCCGTTGAGCTGAATCAGGCTTGCATCCTTGAAAGTTGTTTTGAGGATCTTTCCAGGCTGGGAAAAGGAGCACAGTATCTTTTGCTTGCATTTGGAAAGTTGTGCTGGACTCCCTTTTAAAGGTGATTAACACTGAAGCATAAGGTTGTGGGCACCAGGAAACCATCCTGGCTGACGGTGTGACACAGCTTGACTTCTGAACCAAATGACAACAATGTGAAGTAAACAGATAACGTGGTTAAGACAGCAATTCTCAAAGGCATCAACTGTGTGGCCATCATTTGATCGTGGGGTTTTCTTCATGTACCATTGTATTTCAGCTCTGCGCATTGAAATTGCTTTGTGTTTGCTTTGGCCACACAGTCACAAAGGAGGGGAAAAGTGCTTCTATGAGGGCTTGTGTCCTCAGCAGTGCAGTGTGGACTTAGCCTGACATGCTGTCTTGATTGAACTGGAATTAGCTGACAGTGTTGTTTAGCTGGGAACACAAACCTTTCAGAGGCAGTTATTTTAACTAGTGCACTTTCATCATATTACTGCAATCAAACCCAGCTCTGTCGTTTCTCTAAGTAGTATTGCAGGTGCTTAATCCAGATGCTGTTTTGGTTTTAAGGAGCAAACATGACAGCATGCCTCTGAGGAAATTTTTTTCTGAGACATTCCAGTTACTTGTTATCCTGATGAGGTATTACTCACATATTTTCTTTTTCCATGCTTGAACTCTTCCCTTGTCTTTTCATTATTACCAGGAATAAATCTGTGGCTCTTTTACTGTAGAGTTATTTTCTTAGAACCCAATTCTGTATCTCACCTGAAGTCACCCTACTTCTCATTTTATGGCATTGCAGCATCTCTTGGTGATGCCAAAAAAAGCAGCTTATATAGCTCCAGTGACAGAAAAATAGTGTAAACTCATGGAATGGAATAGGTAGCACTCATGTTTGGGCCTTAACTTGCCTTCGGCCACTTTCATCTCAGGGTTTGACTTGATGAGCCACACCTTGAAGCAGAAATATGCTATTTTCCTTGTCACTTTTTCTGCTTGGCCTTTAATCGTTTTAGTTGGTGTAGTGTTCATTATGGTATGCTGACTGTAATTGGGGAGTTTTGTACCAGGTAGTTTGAGATCATAATATACAGTCTTGCCAGGTATTGGCAAGGACAAGCTGAAGGATTTTTGTGATTTTAACGGGGGGCAGGAGTGTCTGGTATCTAGAGGATAGGTGAGACTTGGCTCTGCAGAACAGTACTCCCCATTTTGTCTGCAAGGGGAAGTAGGGCATATTTTTGGTCTGGGAAAGAAGACAATTCTGTTCCTCATTCAGTGGCTGTCTCAGTTTGCTTGCCAGCTTGCTAATGCCAATGACAAGCCCAGGGATTAGTTAGGAATTTATTTCTGAAATGACCATCCATGACATATCTAATAATGATATTTTCTCCTTTGTTTTTAAACTTCACTTAGGGGAGTTGAGTGCTTTTCACCTCTCTAGAGGTACTGCTTTAAAGCCAAGCTCAGGCATAGGTGGGCACTAGGTGCTGCTTTAAGATGTCTTTGGCTTACAGACTGTTGGAGAGGAGAGCTTACAATTATAATGACAAAGATTTAAGTCCTTGGAAGTTATGCTTAAGTCTACTGTAAATCCCTCCTTATTCTGCCAAAATGGTAAGTACCTTCAGGGTAAATAACAGGCAGCATGAACATTGGAAAACCCCACACCTTAGCTCTGGAGAACAGTTACGTAGCAATTTAAAAATAAATAAATCACAGTTATACAGTGTGTCACAGTTTATGCAGTCTCAGCACACTTGGCATCCTCCTCTTTGTCTTCTGCTTTTGTTTATTGCGGACAGAATGTTTGTGTGCACATGCAGAAAAAAAGAGATGCACGTGTGCTTAAATGGGTGTGTTTCACCTGTAAAATGTTTTTTTTGTTTGTTTCAGTGTTGTCAAACTGTGTGTAAAAAGGGTATGTATATACACTTTAAAAATGAACAAGTTGTTTTAAACTTACACGACGTAATGTCCTCTCTCTTTTCTGTCTCACCTAATAGTGATAACCTGCTACGAAGAGCTGCATGCCAAGAAGCCCAGGTAATACCATTCAAAGTAATAAAATAAGATTAAAATCTCCCTCTTATCTTGGCTGTGCAGTGCTCCTGAGATTTTCCCAGCAGGCCCTTTCTACGTGAGAAGCCTTGTAACAATGCCATCCTTGTTCTTTTGCTGAAGTGCCAAGGGGTGGGTGAGGCCCCAGCCCACTGTACCTTTTGTGCCCTGACTGCTCTTGCAGGGGATGGTGCAGGGTTATCCTTGGGGTGATCTCAGTTACAGCTGTAGCTGCACAGACCTCCATTGCTGCAGGTGTAATTGTTCTGTGCCTGTGAAGTTCTGGTGGGAAGGTGGTTTGTTGATAAGACTGAAGTCTCAGGCCCACCACTGGGGATGTTGTCTGGACAGAACCAGTGCAAAAGGCTTCGTGTTAGTGCTCAGCTGGAGAGCCCTTGTCCTTGTCTGCTCAATCCTGAGTGACTTTACTAGGGATGCTAAACATGATGACAGTCTGACCTGGCACTTTTGAGGCCCATGTACTGGGAGCTTAATGCAGACAACCTGTTTGCAGATCACTGACAAGAAAGCTAGTGTTCAGAGGGAGATAGTTACTCTCTGAGGATAGTGACTCTTGCATTTCATAGTTTGTGGCTTGCATGGGTGACCAGCAATAAGCAAATTCCAATACTGTAGTGTTCCTATGAAGAAATCTTGTCCTTAATAAGATGTCTTTCAGAGGTGTAAGAACTGCTGCCCATGGATGACATCACTTGTGTAGAATTTCAAGAGTCTTTTTACCTCCCACAAATAAAGTTTATCCCAAACCTGCTGCTCCATGCCAGGTCTTCAAGATTTTGCAGGTTATAACACTGCTCCCGTAGTTGCTATGTACTAGGGCCTGAGAAGAATGGTGAAAATTATTTTTCTCAGTAGAGAACATTCCTTAAGATTGCCCTGCTTCCTTGGTGCACCTGGATAATCCCAATTTTAGCCTGCCTGCTGTTAAGAGAAAGATTTTTACAGCAACTTGTCTTGTGCAATGGAGCTTCATGCCAGAAGAGATGTAAGGCAGCTCAAGTCTCATGAGAACAAGAAAAATCTTTCCCTGAAAATACTGCTTTCATAAACCATGCTGATAGCTTCAGAGTCAAATGCATTTCCAACTTATGGTATCAGTTGTTCTTTATTTTATGTTTTCAATATTCATTTTTACTGCATAATAGCAAAATGTTCGAAGCTTTTTCTGTCGCGGAAAATACCTGTTAATACCTCAGTATTTGAAGTATTTGAAGCCTTCTGACCAAATTAAAACAGTTTTTTAAAAAGGCACTGATGAAATGGGGGGTGTGTGCTGTCAGAGAGGTGTAACTGCCAAGGAAGGGCTGGTACAAGAAGATAGTTCTGTTGTAGAAATTCTGATTTCCTGTTTTTAATTCCAGTCATTAAGTGACAGGTTCTATTCTATTATGGCTTGTTCTTATAAATGAAAATACAAAAGCACTGTCAGTAGAGTTTCCTACCATTTCAGTGGTAAAGCCTGGGAAAATATCCTGCAGAAGGCTCCTGCATTAGGAAGGAATGAGCCAGAAAGCCTGGTAATCAATTCTTGCTGTAATTTCCATTCTCACTGATGTGTCAGTGCCAAATAGTGCTTGAAAACACACAGCAATACAGCAGTAAGGCATCGAGTGTCTGATATGTTCTTCAGAATCACAACAATCTGAAACTGTCTGAAAAATGCTACTTGTGTTTGTCGTGTTGTGTATGTATTGGGGAAAAAACACCCAGGGGCAGACTCACCCCTATAAAAGTTTAGTCTGAATGAGGGCTGTGTGGGGTTCCTGCTATTTTTACATTGGATTTTTAAGTTTTGAAGCCTGTTATGATATCAGGTTGATAAAGCAGATGCCTCCTGGCACAGGATCCACCACAGCAGTGTCCCATGCAAAGGTTCCACCATGCATGTCTAAATTTAAATACCAGTTTATGATGGCAACATTAGTGTGGCAAATTATTATAGAAAGATTCTGTAATAACTCATTTATCTTATTTTTAATGTTTTACACCTCCTTCTCTGGGATAAACCAGTGTCAGCTGACTGTGGACTTCCTTTGCAGATATGGTTGCACTGATTGACCTTGGGGTTGCTGAACTCTGGGCATGTGTTAAAAGAAGTCCTGTTTAGCTGGCGAACAGTTCACTCTGTGAAGCAGGGATAGTTTTTCCTGTAAAGGAATGCTGTGTCTTTGTTAGCTTTCATAAAGGCTTTGTTTAAAGGGTTTTTCACAGTTTGCAGAATAGTAATGGTCATCTCAGAAGTCCAGAAATACAGTACCTGGACATGTGCATTTGACAAGACAGTGAAAAAAGGCATTGACTTACCTAAATGATACCTTTAGATATCTACTTAATAACCATTTTTATTGTCTGACTTTGTCTTTACTTATGTTCTGCTCTGAAAAAGTTTGCATTATTCCTTTTTTATTTACAGCCTTACAGATCAACATTTGCTTTAGAAATGCCCCTGTTTGTAGCATAAATGTCTAAGTATATTACATAAAGAAGTGATTATGTCATTACTCATAAATTCTTTATGAGACTTGTTAGGTTGTTTAGAGCCTTGTTAGATTGTTTAGAGCATGCAAATACATCACGTTGTGCCCCCCAAGCCAATAATTAGTTGTTTCTAACAGCTGCAACATACTAGAGGTCTCCTGTTCCCCAGTTCCCGCCCAGCCATTGCAATATCATAAGTAGGTCTGTTTTCCAGCTGATCTGTGAGTAAAGCTTAAGAGCTATTGATTTGTCTCCCTTTCTTTGAAGATTTCTTTGCTCTCAGCAACTCCTCTCATCCTTATCCTCTCTTGAAGAAGAAATGTGAACGTTTTAAGCAGCGTAGCCAGCTGCACCCTTCTCTTAGCTGAGGTTTCCTGAGCAGAGTTGGCAAGTAGAATTAATTATCAATTTGAACAGCTAATAGCCACTAAAATCTACTGTGCTTTGTGTACAGCATCACCTTCTTCAATAGAAAAATTTCTGCTGGGGGGATTAACTTTCAAGATGAAGGGGGGAAAAAGCCAGGGACAGTGCCACATGCAGTGCAGTAGTCTTTTCTTCCTATTATATTTCTGGGGTTTCTGGATGGTATTGCTGAATACATTGTCACACTTGGACTGGAAACCTGTGTGTTGGTGAGGGTGCCTTTAGGTGACCTAAAAGAGGTTTGCAGAGTGGGATGATGTAAGATGCATAGAAGCTTTGCCTTTTCTTGCCTCTCCTGTGCTGAAAAGCTATGGAAATAGGTACAAGGTACAAGAGGCTGTATGGAGTAACTCTCAAAGAATTTAAAATTGAGGCACCTCTTCAGAACTGGATTAGAAGTTGAAGAGGAATGAAGTGATTTTTGTGTGGAGACATTAGGAGAACAAAAAGCCTGAGAAACAGAGAGCTTGCTTGTAGGTCAGGGCAGATTCTCTGGTGATTATCTTTAATATCTTCAAAAGCTTAAGCATAAAAAATACTAAAATGAGCGGAAGAGAAGAATTGAACTTCAGAAGTGGAAAAGGATGCAGAAAGAAGGTGGCAGGCAGGTGTATGAGAATTACATAAGGAAGGAAAATTAAGTAACCTTGGAGTCAAGGATAGTTCCGTGGATCTCTGCCCATGGCAGAAAACCAGAGGTTGACAAAAAAGAAATGGTGGTGGAATTGTAAAAATGAGCTAAAGAGAGAACTTATGGCAGTGATGTGAGCTGTGCTAGGAGTGCAGGGCTTTGGATAGGAGACCTGTACAGTGGCTGAAGATGGAAGTCATTTGAATGTCGTAAGGCTTGAAAGCCTATTGCCATTTGTGGAGATGCATTATTTTGAACTGTTTTAGCAGCATGCTTAAAAGATAAACTGAGCTCTGCTCTTTTTCTCTTACTTAGGCTTTTGGTGACGAGCTGCTCCCTGCCAATGTGCCACTGAAGAAAGCAACAGTGTTCCTCAACCCAGCAGCTTGCAAAGGGTAAGATTCCCCCTTCCCTACGCTCTCATTTGAGGCACTCTTTCTGCATTTTAGCTCTGCCATCCACTATAAAAGCCAGCCAAATTTTTGAGCTCATTTTTGCCTCCCTCTGGTGCCAAGCTGGTGCTGTGTAACTGTGCCAAACTTTATTTCACCAAAAATACCGGGACAAGAAATAGAATTAGATACTTGAGGTGAAAGAATGATTTCTAAACAGATGTATGTTTTTAATTGAGTTTTTTTAATCCTATGTTTTGGTCTTTGTCATTCCTTTGGATGTGGAATTCCTTTGTATTCCCATCAGACTTTTGCATGCGATACATTTCCGTCCTCAAAACCTATAGAAATAAGAGATGACCTTGAGTGCTTCAAGACTTGAAGTTAGTCAACAGTGATGTTACTTCTGTGGGAGCCTGTCCTTGAAAAGGATGTGCCCACAAACTGTGAGGCTAAATATGGGCTCAGAGCAACACTTCTGGAAGAGGTTGGCTGCTATTTTTCCATGCCCATTAGCAGAAAAACTACCCGTCCTCAAAACCTATAGAAATAAGAGATGACCTTGAGTGCTTCAAGACTTGAAGTTAGTCAACAGTGATGTTACTTCTGTGGGAGCCTGTCCTTGAAAAGGATGTGCCCACAAACTGTGAGGCTAAATATGGGCTCAGAGCAACACTTCTGGAAGAGGTTGGCTGCTATTTTTCCATGCCCATTAGCAGAAAAACTACGATCTTGGATGTGTGTCTGTTC